CCTTGGCTGCTACATTTGGAAGCATTTTAACTCAACCTCCCTATTCTGATGCAAGTAAATTGTAGCATTTTCCCCATAGTAATTTTCAATATTTAGCCAAATCAACAACAGAAATGCAAGGGCTGCATCAGATGCCCGACCTGTCATGGAGCGGATTAACTCATGCAGAGTTTCAGCTGAATAGCTTATTCCACAAGCAAAACCACTTCTGGCATTCAGCCAGAAGTTTAAAACATTATTTGGGAGGCAGCACTGCTGATTGTCAAGGCCATGTAGTGTCTGCTGGTTGATGCTTCCATAGGATTTTCCTAACCTTGTGAAGCCTTGTGTAAGAAATGTTACTACCTGGGTCTGAGGAGCTTCTCCTGCAGTGCAGTTCTCCTTGCTGCCCAAATACAGGGATGTAGGTCTACAGAAAACAAACTCACGTTCAAATTTTATAGGCCTTGAGGGATAGGAAGGATTGTGCTGGCACCATGGGCTGTGTAGGGGTGTGTCTTTGCCTCCTCCCTCTGTGATGGCACTATCCTGTTAACATTAGTCTGCCAAGTTGGGTACATCATGTTCTAGCAGGACACTCCCTCCTAATGATGTTTGTTTGACAAAAAACAAACTTTATTTCCAACAGGTGGTCTGTATGGGATTGAAGGCTGCTATATTGTAATTGGATTTTGGTCATTCTTACAGTCTGAGAAATCAGAACAAAGCCACTTATTTCTAGTAAAAAGAAATTAAAATCAAAATATTCTACAGAAAGTTGTGTTGTTTTTTATAGGAAAAAGAAAAAAATCATGACACTGTCTGATATCCATGAACGGATCCTGAAGGAATGGAGGTTTTTTTAGTTTTACTTCTGCTGTGGGTCAGAAATAAAATCAGAGTTCCATAGAAGTAAAGTCCCTCAGTATCAGCCCCTGCTGCAGTTACGGGGATAGAGCAACACTCAGAGCAGGCCAGTGAGAAAGGAGCAGGATGTAGCACCCCTCAGCACAGCCTGGGGGACACAGTGGAAAGACCCCTGCAACTGAGATTTGTTGTGTCAAGCTTTCCAGCTTAGCTGGTACTTTTCTTCCAGGAGTATACCCGGGGGGCTCTTTAAAGTAAGTCGACAAAAATTTTTTAAAATGGCATTAAAGGAAGAGAAAGAAAGCACTTAGGAAAACTGGCAGGCAGAAGGAAGGGCATAAATTAGGTGTGGAGTAGAGGGATTGCAGAGGATGATGGAGGAAACAAAGGGGAAAAAATAACAAAGTGAAAACAAGTAATGAAAGGAGTGACTATAGAAACAACTGACAATGTAAAGGAGCAAAATAAAATAGAATCTCTTATGTGAACATTCAAGATTAGGAAAGGTTATTTCTCTTTCATTTTTATTTCCTTGGCAGAGAAGCAGGAGATGTAGGGAGGGGAAATTAAGTGTTTGGTACTGGTGCTGATGGAAAATTTTATTTCAGCTTCAGCTCAGGCAGAGAAAAAAATTTTCCTGGTCAGGCCAAGGTGAGGGGTTACAGAGCAGTGGTATCTGTGTCCAATGCAGAAACCCTTAAAGTCTGTATTAATTTGTCAGGCCTTGACTAAGGAAAGCAATATTAATGAGACTTTAACATACTTGCCACTGGCATGTGACATATGTCTATAAATATTTAAGGAATGATGGGATCTCTTTACCACTCTTTCTTCATTTCAGCCTCAGTTCCCATCCCAAACTGAACTGGAAAAATTTTTATGCACTTTGGCTTGTCTCAGTTAAATTAACACCCCCACCCCTTTTTCTATACCTCGTTTCCTGTCTAGTTCTTCTGAATCACTCTCTCGAGCTATGTCCAGGATGCTTTTAGCTCTGATGTTGAACTGCAGCTTGTCACTAAAGGCACCTTGGCATGTACATAAAAGAGATTTGAAGGTGGAAATGACCACCCATTAAATCACTCATCCCTCCTGTCACTGTGGGATTGTTCCTGCAGCACACTCCCCAGGGCATGGGGTTTTAATGCTTTGAGCGACAGAAATTCTATCTCCACCCCCTTTGGGAGGAGTGCATGAGGGCTAATAGTTCACACTCTTATGCAATTTTTCCTGATACAGAGCCTGCATTTTTCTTTGTTTGATGTCTTCAGTCCGTTATTCATATTTATAACTGGTGCTGGGTGAATCCCAGGTGCTTCTAAGGTTTATTTCTGTTTAAGAAGGCATGCAAAAAGCCAGAGACTACTCCACATTCTTTAAACCTTTTGGTGCCTTCCTGACAGGCTCCATTATTTCTTCCCTGAAACTGCCCAGGACCCAGCAAAAAACCCCATTTCTGTCTATCCCAGAAGGTTAGAAGGTTGGATACTGGCCTAGTATATCTATCCTTAGCAAAGTGACTAAAGCCATCATCTTCTCAATCTAAAATATGCCTTTTTCTCATCATTACCCAGTAGCCTAAGTCCTCCAGTTTAATTTCCTGTACTCATTGGACTGTTGCTTTGTTTTTTGTACTCCCTTACCTAATTGAGGGGTTTATCAGTTTTCATTGCACTGCTTCCTTTGACGCCTGAGCACAAGAGATACTTCTTTAAGTATTTTTTCTTAAGAAAGAAAGGTATCTCTAAGCTGCTATTTCAGTTGATACCCCATGAAACTCTGCGCTAATCAAACGAGAGCAAGCGGGATCCTTCATTTGTTCTGAGGAAACCTTGCACAGTAGAATTTAGTCAGGGGCTATGAATTCTTCCTCTGGACCTCCATCCTGTACATGGAGCCAAATACTGCAGAAGAATCTCAGGGTACTCCATGCTTTAAGCATGCCCAAGCAAAAGTCCAACTTAATGGTTCCTGGCAATCCAGTTTAGCAGGGGCACATTATACATGTGTGCAAGGCAATGACAGACAGTGCTGCCAGGACTTTCTCACTATCTGAAATTCTTCACTATGTGTGCAGGCTCCTCCCTCTTTGGATCCTCCTCCCTCCCTTCAGTCAGAGGGATTGCTCCTAATACTGTCATTTTAACAAATACCAATTTCCAGGGCTGTCACAAGTGCCAGATCATGTCTTTCTTCTGTAAGGGTTGAGGAAAGATTTAAATCCATGTTGCTGTCACAGTGGCCCCTGTACTACAGTGAATTCTGTCTGCTCACTCTTCCCCTGTGAAGGTTAAATAACAATAAAAAATTGTTCTGCTGCAGGAAGAGAAATAAAAACTGAAAAATGCCTGCTCTAGTAGGTTGTCTAGGCAATCAGATTACAGGAAAATTATTTTTAGATGCCTTTACCTGAGGCATTCTCATTTTTTATGCAACAGTAAATTGGGTACACACTGTTCTACAAATAGCATGTTTTTTCTCTTAGGACACAGGAAGACTACAGTTCTACAACTCATCCAAAAGCAGGATGCTGGATTTCCTCCAGTCATGCCACTACTGCTCTAACACTAGGCAGGACAGGAGGAAGAGGTACAAGCACCACTTCTCCTATGTGCTTTATATGGTGTAAGTGTGTTTTTAGCTTGCTAGATGCCAAAAGGGGATGTTTGCTGGCTTACAGGCAGCACAGTGGTGGTTGTTGGCCTTTGGAGGTGCTCATGCAGTGAGCAGTTGGGGACTGGTCTGTTTTCATACCACAGAAATAGAGGTGGGAGAAAACCAGACATGAGCTTCCTATGTCCTATGTTCTTATGTCCCTATCCTGGACAATTATAAATACATGGTTACAATTTTTGCCATCAGCTCATTTTTGAACTATATACATAGGTATTAAAAACCTGAAAGCAGGAATTTATTGTCTAAATTAAATGGCAGTATCAAGAAGTAACTGACACTGATCATAAACTGCCATGCTGGCAGAACAATCAACTTGGAAGAGAACTTACTTATAGAAAGGGGAGTACGACTATTTTTTTTCTGAGGCAGAGGACTAGAGGCCATCAAACCAACCCTAAAATGACACAGGAAGGCTTACCAAGAGTAGCATATGTACACAGGGAGACCCTTTTTGGCTCATACAGGCTTTACAGACTGTAAATTATAGTTATTCCTAGGAGGGAAGAAAAGAGGTTCTGTCAGTTGTACAATTACTTTTTATTGGCAGTGCTCTTTCAACTCAAGAAAACATTGGCTGAAGTTCAAGACCAAGATTTGGCTCAAATGCCACCACAATTCTTCAGAAATGCAATGAATGTTCCTCAAGAAATAGTTTCCTAAGGAAGCCACAAAAATGTGTCCAGCTAGGTTTCAGGATATCTAAAATGATATCCAGAAGTTGCTACCACTGAAGACCAATTGCTTTAATTTCACCAAATTACATTTTTACCTGTCAGACTGGCTAGTGCTCTCTGAGAAAGAGATCTCTGACACATTTGGATGAATAGTTTCATAAACTTTGATGTACATATATATCTACACAATTCATCACACCAACCTCAAGCTTTTATTTTGATGGATAAACTATTAAAAAAAAAGTTACCAATCTAGTAACAGTGGAAGACAGTCCTGTCACTGTGACATGTTGGCCTGAGGGTCATATACTGAACATAAATTCAGTCAGTCAACTCTCATGCCTGAGTGAAAATATTCCTAAGCTTGAGTGAAAACTTCATTTTAGAAAAGTTGATGAGATTTTTTCGATTGCTGTCAATGAAGGCAAGATGTCGAAAGTCTGTCTTCCTGCTGCCTTACCTGAAGATGTGTCCATATGATATAGCAGGGTTAAAGCATTAACTATTACTACTCATGCTTCTAGAAAATTTAGAAAATTAGAAAATATTAGTAAACTAATCTTTAGCTTACCCTGACCTGAATCTTAAATTGCTTGAAGAGACTGGAGATGTCATGTAAAATATCCACTTTTGTTTCCAAAACATCTTTAATGGTTATTGCAGTTATCTAGAACACAAAAGGCTATCTGTACAATTTTTCTACGATGCTTTATACAGAAACACTGGAAAACTTCTAGGTATACTTCCAGAGGATTCCTGTCTGTAATGGGATGAAGATATAAAAACATAAGCATCAAGCAAAAGCAGGAGAAATAATAATTTTTATTTGTAAAACATGCATATAAGTGTATCGGTAAGAAGGCAGATTTAAAATAAACTAGATTCTAACAAATATTGGGAATATCTTCTACAATTTCAGAAGATTAGTATCATTAGACTTTTAATCAGCTATACAAACTGGCATATTTTTTATAGTATTGTGTTAATTAAACGTAGTGACATATTTAGAGATTTACCAGTGAAAGGCACCTCGGCTAGGATATTAGTTCAACCCTCCCCTAACTGAATGGGCCTTTCCAAATCTCTATTTTTACTCTGGTTTATTTTTTTTTTCTTTTCTTCACTGTAGAATGGTCCATCACTCCATCAACTCTCCAGTGAATTCTTAATACTTGAAGTCTTGATACCAGTGTGATCAGATACTTCTTCCTCACCCTCATTTCCAGTTATTTCAGATAATAGAGGCCTGGCATGCTCCCAAGCACAGATCTTAAATTGGCAACATTGCTCCAACAGACACATGCATACAGAAAGCAGAAGGCTAGACAAAACAGGATAATGTGAAGACTGTACTTAATTAGCTAGACAAAACAGGATAATGTGAAGACTGTACTTAATAACACAGCAAATCAAAATTCCCCAAATTTGATAAGATTGCTGCTAAGAAATGAACGTATAGCTTAGTGAAATATATTAGTTTTGCCCCTCTGCAGGCTATAAAAATTAATGCTTGCTAGTTAAGGTTCCAATGCATTTCAATAATTTGGTTAGTAATTACTTGCATTTCCAGACAATTGAGAATAAATACAAAAATATTCAAAGTTCATTTGAAGTTCACTGACTACAACCTTTCCCAGATCTTAAAATGCAATGGGGGAGATTTTTTTACAAGGAAAGGTTAGATTGACTCCTGATTTAATCACTTGCTAAGCATTATTAAAATCAGTGGTTTATACAGTTTCTTAGACCAAGAATAACCCTCCTGTTATTAACTCTGTACCAACTGACAGAACCCTCTTATGCGGAACAGACCAAGGATGTAGTAAATAGATGACAAGAGACACCATAGAAACAGGAGATAACATATTCCTATGTCTTTAATGGAAACATTTTGTTACAATTTAGGTTATGTGATATGCTTGCATTTTTAAAAAGTGTGAAAGAAAATGCACAGAATAAGAAGTCAAAGGACACCAGTGAATGCAGCTATTTTATATGACCAAGTCATAGAAGAAATAAAATACATTACACAAATAAACAAAGGTTATATCCACAGTCATGAATACACACTCTCCTCTACACAAAACCAACAATAAATAAAATCACATTATATGCAGATAGTTTACTTACATCAGTACAATATACTGTGCAGCTTTCCATTTGTTTTCTGCTGAATTGGCACTAGGTTTCTCTTTTGTCCAGTATTTTTCTATTAATAGGGAACAGTGTAAAAAAGGTGACAAAGTTCCTGTCCACAGTGTCTATCCTGAGTCCTGTTAGTTTTTGATTGTTACACCCTATGCACAAGAAACACAGCAAATTCTAGCCACTGCCTTGATCCTGCCTCTCCAAGTGTTCTCAGCACTTCCAGACCTGCCCAGTAAAGACTTTATTATCTGAGAGAAACGGAAATCCAGACAATCCCCAAGCAGAAAGCAATGCAGCTGTGCTCCTTGAGCCTGCTGCTAATGCACAACACCAGCGAAACCTCTTGTTTGTTGCCCCAGTTGGGACATAGGGGGCAGAATCATGTGCTCTCTGTGCATACCAGCTGACATTACAAAAGAGATCCCTAAAAAAACTATTTTTTTATTTTAATACCGGTTTCTGTACATTTTTGTTGCTTGCTCAAGTGTTTTCTAGAAACATTCATGTCACAGAAACACAAAGGGAAAGTTCACACAGAATGGATTTTAACCATTCAAAGATTTTTCATCTAATGAATCTGCCTAACATTTCTGAATATAGCTTAACATACAAACTGTAACAGAATCAGATTATTCAGAGTAATTAATCTTTGATGCAGATTGAGGGAACTGTAAGCCTCTCCTTTTTGTTAGTTGTTTATGCTGTAAATTTGTTTTTTGTCAGTTAGGACCTTCTAAAAGGTCAATTATGGGAGAAGTAGTGGCATAATAAAAGTCTCTATAGTGACACACTTGTCACAATTAAACATTAACCCAACAAAGCCTCAAAACCGTGACAGCCTTATCTTCTTGATCAAAACCAGCAGTAACTCCATAAAAAGTCCAACATTAACCTTTTTACTTTCTCCCTCTTTGTGTGAGATAAAGGGGGAACTGCATTTATGACAGAGTTAAGGCTTCACTGGGGCAAACCACAGTGCTCAGTCTTTCTGTTGTTATTCTTTAGAAGAGAACAGACACTATTAATGTCTGCTGCACAGCTTGCTGACCCTGCAGACAGCCATGTCTGACATCTCTCACAAACAGCTATTTGTTTTAATTTCAACAATCATTTTTCATCAGTCTCAGAGCTCAGATGTTAAAAGGTATCTGAGAATGGAAAACAATTCAGCTCTCAAGCCATTTGAATTAATTTCTGCTGCTAAGCAGGGATATGCACAGCACAAACTCTTCCATTTCTTCCACTGGAAAGTTTTCACACACTCACAAATCTTTTGTGCTTTCAACAGCAAGAAGGAAAGTGGGGGAGGAGAGGTGACACACGTGCACAACATATCTGAAAGCAGAACATATCTGAAAGCACTTTTCCCAGCATGCCCTTAAAAATACATTCCAAGAGTTTGTTTCTAAAAAGAGTTAAAACTGACTCCTACAAAACATGCACTTTGAAATTTGTCCCTTTACAGCTCACTGTTGTGAGGTGAGTTACCAGGGCATGTTGCTAACCAACAGAAAAGGTAATGTACCATTAGAAACTGGTATTTCTGTTCCCATGTGCCCTGACGTGGGTAAGGTGGTTGCTAGACATCATTTTATAGCAAAAACAATAAGGATGAAAAAACCTAACAGGTAATTCTAGGTCTATAGCTCTGATAGTGGCTGGCGTGGCCATGGTGTTTTGACACCACAAGGTGTGTTGACAGCTGAGCAGTGCTCAGCAATGAACCATGTCTGAAATTACATAAAGGTCAACACTCTCAGTGAGGAAGGAGCATTTCTGACTAAATGGTAGAAAACGGCTGTCTTCTTTTCAAAGTACTTCTGAACCTAGACAAAAGACTGTGAAAAAAAAAAAGGGTAATGAAAGACTGTTCATTCAACTCTTGGAGAAAATGAGGAAAAATAACCTTAACTGCTTTACTGAGAGAACCAGAATGCCCACATAGCTGCACTCTGAAGCACAGAGGAGGGCAGTGAAGGATGTGGAACTGTCTTGAGCTCCGGAAAAGGTGGACTGAATTGCCAAAGAAATTTATGACCAGGACTATTAGCTTCCTGTCTTTGATGTCTATTCTTGGCTTTCCAGGAGCATTATGGCATTCATGAGGTGAAAATATCACTGGAGCCAAGGTCAGCTAAGGCTGATGCAGCCTGTTCTTCTGCAAAGCTGAGAAATTGAACTGCTTCAGGCCTGCAGACACTCATTGAGGGCCCAAATTTACTTCCACTGAATCAGTAGGAGGGTTTTTTTGTCAGTTTAATGTGTGATTGCATTTCTAAGCCAAAAAATGAATCAGAGATCAACCTCCCAGTAAAACACGTTGTCAGTTGTCAGGGAGAACTCTCTTTATTTTGTCCAGCACAAATGTTTTCAAAGCATTAACTACACCTTAAATTACTTTCCACTGAAAAACCCCAACAAAATACTTCCAATAATGCAATAGTGCATTGTTTAAGAACAAAATGAAAATAGCTCAACATGGTTTATTTTCAGAAATTAATTAATATAAGTCTTTAATAAACTGAATTCTGGTCACAATCTTCCAAAGTGCTCAAAATCACATGTTTTAGCAAAGATTGAATGTTTTCAGAGCTCAGCTAGTTGTGGTCTTCAATGAAGCACACTAGAGCAGGAACTGGTAATTTAACAGTGATGGTGGTAGTCACAGACAACTCAGAACACACAAACTGTCCATAAACAAAGGTTTCAGAACTGGCCAACTACCAGTGGCCCAGGACAAAGCACCTAGACATCTGACTCTGAAGCTGTGGGTTTCAGGAAGCTAAGTAACAGATACTTCTGAAAGTTGTGCTTAATCTTTGTCACTTTCAGTAGAAGCCTTGGTGTTGAAGTTATGAGGGTAAAAAAGCAGGAAAACTGTCCATAGAATCCTCAGGAAGACGATTCTGAGATGAATCAGTTATTAAGATGACCACTGTTTAGTAATTTTAATAAATACTAAATTAGCAGAATTTGTCAAACTTTGACAGAATATGAAGCCATTATTTTAATTTCAATTTAACTGGCACAACTGAAAGAACTGGCAATAAATATGGCTTACACAGCCAGCCTTTCTTAAATTCAAGCACATGGCAAATCTCCCTTTGGTTCAGCCGTGGCCAGGACCATACCCTTCAGTCCCAAGTGAGCAAAGCACTTAGAAGCTGAAGTTGAGCTTATTTTAAGTGTGCTCTGAAGTGCTGAGCTGAGTCAAGGGTCTCCTTGTGCTTCTCTGTAATACAGATGTATGTTTGCAATACGGGCAATTTGTTGAAGCCAAAAATGCAGGTTTTGAAACCCTTTTTGAGGATCAATTATTATTATTTTGATTAGACATTCCCTTACAGAGTTCGGAGCCTAAACATTGTGGCATTGAGCTAATGCAGATGAACCAGAAAGGAAAAGCGCATTAGCCAGTAAAGAATCTCTCTGCTGAATAATCTAAACTCAAGGCAGCTTCTGATCTGTGCTCTGTGGAAGACATGGGAACTATTAGCAAGAGGCCTGTGAAAGGCAGCTAAGAAGAGCAAGTTTATTTATACTATGAAGGAATCTACTTATGTGAAATGTTTTAAATGGTCTCTACACTTCCATGGGAAAAACACATATGTTTGTGTGCATCAACTTGCAAACATTAAAGCCCATTGATCTAAAATGCTTTAAGGTGCAAAGAAGGTTCACCTTTCTTGGAGGTGCTGGGATGCACAGTTTTGGTTAAGCCTAGGTCAGCCCCCCACCAACAGACATCTCATAGAAACACTTCTTGAGGTCATGATTTAAAACCCTCCACAAAGGTTTTAAAGCATAAGAATTAATATTATTTTTAAAAGTGACCTTTCACTATACTTTTTTAAATAGATATCATAAAATGACATAATAAAGTGTCATGAGAATTTATGTCCCAACCAGATCTCCCATCTTCTGGTGTGACTCAGCTGTGCAAGGCATAGGAAAAATGCACATCTACACAATTGTCCAACCTAGTCACTTTTTGATCTTGAGTACTAGTTCATACTGCAAAGCAAGTCACAACAAAAATAATTTCAAAAAGAACTGATGCTTCAAGTTACCCTATTCTCTACACATTTAAAAATTTTCCTTGCCTTTTTTTTCTGCAGAGTAGTCAAGTGGGTAAAACAAAGCCAAAATACTGAAAGGCCTATTTGCAAAACCAGAAGTAGATCAAAACTGCTTTGGAAAGTATATAAAAAAATATCTATCCAAACTTCAAGCATGCCCAGGGGCTAGACAAACTCAACTGCTTGGGGAAAAAAAAAAATATCCAGAAACTAACCAGGATGTCTTTTTTCCTCCCCAAGTCCATAGCACTATGACTGCTTCTCTAGCCTACTTGTGGTGCCCATGATATAAAGAGAATACCATTCTTCTCTGGTGCCCATGAAATAAGGAGAATACTTCAGAAAACTGTCCACTGATCCATGCCACTTTGGCTAAAGCACTCTTCTAGAAGTCACACAGGCCCAGACTGGGAAATGGGATGCTGGAAATCAATTTCCTGTACTGGACCTGCCCTGACAGTCAGGAAGCTTTGCCCTCTGGCTGTCTGGGACATAGGACAATATATCACAAGGGCAGCTGATGAACCCTCCATATGCTAAGAATAAATTGAAATCTAAGGAAAAAGAACACCATGTCCAACAACAAATAAAAGGTGTCAGAAAGCAGACACAGTGAGCTTTTGCTCTTCACTCCCAGGTATCCCGAAGTGGTTTCTCAGAGTTGGTAGTCTGGCCAAATGACTTTCAGGGCCTAAAAGTTTTGCAGAAATCAGGCTTCAAAGCCAGTTTTGAGGTTAACTTTCAAGTCTGACTAGAACTGCTGAGACCAGAAAGCTCTGTTTATGAAATCAGAATAGAATAAACCAAAATATTTAATGGACTCTCAGAATCATAGTCATAGCTCTGTTTCCACACTGACAATACTTTTATGGATCTTCTTCACCACATTTGCTGTAAGTACATTTCATTTCCATTTGTTGACTAGAAAATGCAAAGCTCTCCTTTGTTCAGTATAAAATAACCTGTCAGTAGCTAATTCAACACAGATTCATTTTTGCTTCTGGTAAAATACATGACAAAATTTCCAGGGGTATTGATGGCAGCAGGATTAAAGTCAGCCTCAAACAGTGTTTTAACACATGCTTCCTGAAGGTAGCTCCTTGGATGTTAAATTGTACACACATGGATAGTTAAATCCCACTAATTTCTACAGGACTCTTTAACATGTGAAAAATGCATTATTTACAGCATGAGTGTCATCTTCATATAGACAATTAAATAACTGCATTTGTGTTCTTTAAGTAACTATTTGATTGTTGCACATGCATGGAGAAAAAAGTTGGGGAAAAAATCAAATACCATCCACAAAGTCATTTCTCCTCCCCTAAATACTGGTTCTAAAATGTATTTACAGCTGTTGACTTTCCCTGCATATTACTCCTATCATACAAAATATGTCTTCAAAACATCCTCTTCCTTAATTTTTAATTCTACCAAGCAAAAATAGATACTTTAATAGAAAAATACAAGATTAAAAATATCCTAAAAAATAAAATGGTAGCATGGAATGTCATTTTTATACACACAAAAAAATCCCCTTTAGAATTGCATCAGCTATACAAACACTTTCATATTTACAGTTATGGATGCAGTCCTTGTGCTCACTGAAGTTAATGGGATTTCACCATTGACTTCACTAGGAACAGGAGCAGGCTTGACATGGACTACATCTGCCTCTCTGAAAAGTCATGGCAGGGGACAGAAAAGAGTGTGGCAAAGCACATATAAGACTGAGGAATTAATCAGTCCTCTCCAGAGACCTGATTGTCTTCTCTGTTACTATTTCACATGTATGAAATTCCTCATCTTTCACTGAAGTTTTTCTAAGTCCCACCAGCTACGAGGGAGAAACAGTGCTTTTGACTGTGATGCCACACAAACAAGGAAAGAATGGTTTGTGTGTTTCCACCTGCCTGACTTTTTCAGAGGAATTAATTAGAACCAAGTGCCAGTTCTGTCCCAGAACTAAGGCCCGTACACCAACTTTCATATCCCCTGTTATCAATGTCAGTGATTCAGTGATGCAGGATCATACCCCAAACAAATCCCTTTCTTCCTTTTGACAGCAACCAGCACCTATGCCTCTGAAACCATATTTGATACCCATGGGTGATATGCAAATATGGAAGGAGGTCGTAGAAGCTTTAAAAAAAAAAAAAAAAAAAAAAAAAAAAAAAAAAAAAGGGAGCAAAATGAGGCATTCCCCATCAACTAAACCAAGATCTGCTAGCCTTAATATATGCCTTAGGAAATACTGTCTTTACATATTAAGTACATCCTATAACATCAAACTGCATAGTTTTCTTTTCTCATGAGATGAAAGGCCATGCGGCATAATGTGATAAGTAAATAATTCCTGAGCTTCTGAAAGAAATTAAGACAAAATTACTGCTTAAAGAGTGAGTTCTCAAGAGCCTCTTCTTTTTACACTGTTGTCTTTGGTTGTGTCCTTTTCTCTAATTCTTTCTTTTCCCTAGGAAGAATGGGATTCTTTTTCATCTTCTTTATGCAGCAGAAAAATGAGATCTAATGGAGTCTTCACGTAACTGCCGATGTTTCCCCATGTTACAGTCCTCCTGTTGAGTTCGTCTCTCAATAGTTATTCTGTATTTCTTTCTGCATGAAAGGAGAGGAACAGAATGAGAAATCCTTCTCCAGCTACAGGCTAACAGACTTCTCTTATGAAGAATGCCTGTAGGGGACAGCTGGGTGCCATTTGAAAAATGAAACGTGGCAGAATGTGAAACCCTGGTCAAAGATTAAAGTAGTTTGCCTCAGAACATTTTACCCAGGCTCAAGAATGACTGTTAATTTTTACATGGCAGTCTCAAAGCACTAAGACATGGACATTTGCTTCTTTGAAAATTTCTGATCTAAGTGATTAGGAGTTTTTGTGAAGTGTCATGTGAACTGTGTTACTTCACTGTTTTATATTGATCAAAGACAATTTTCTTTTCAGTATGCTGGGTGGGGGGAACTTTCTGCAGAGTTCAAACAACAGATCTGACTATTCAGCTGCATTTCTCACTGAAACCCAGTATTAACTAACTAATCTTCCCATTTCCGCCTGAGAAAACTATGATGTTTGTAATGTCAGAAGAGGTAACATGATGAATTAAGAAGAGGGATGTAGAAGACAAGAAATAAACACAAATGCTCATGTATCAGACACAGCTCTTCCTGTGTGTCTTCCTCTTGGCCCGTTTGAAGAATTCTGCTATGCTTTGTACATCAAACAAACCCTCTGACTGCCTTTTACTTCCTCTTTAGTACCCAAATCTCCCTTCAAAAACCATCAGCTGATTCACTTTTACATTTTATACATTTAGGCTTCTACTCATTTTCAGGACAAATTTTTCAGAAGGGCATTAGTCCAGCCCCATGTGCTTGTACTGCTGGAGGAGATGCATGGCAAAAACACTGTAGGCCAAGGAAAGACCTGTTACACCAGCACAGGTAGCAGGAGTCACAGCTAGGTATGCAGCAGTGGAAGCAAGATTTCCACAACACCAAAGTTTTGATTCAAGCAATATGGCTGAATAGAAAGTGGCAACCTAGAAGTTCTGAAAATATTCCCTCAATACCTGTGTCTGTATCAGTAAGCTCCAAAATAAGGTGAAAAACCTGTGTTGTTTAATTTCTTTATACATTTTCAAGTCAGACCCTTACATGGGTCAGAGCATGTACAGTAGTAGCTCTTGCACAAGGACAGGTCCAGATTTTAGATGTACAGGTGTTTAAGTTAAAATCTGGTCAAAATACATTTCAGAACTACTCCCCAGACCTTTTACCTGCTGGTATGCACACTCAAAATTGTATTTGTATACTCGTCTGTGACAATTACAGATCTAAATGAATGGTAATTAGTAGTATTTACAGTTTAAAAGCTACAGAAGCTGGAAGTACAAATTACTTTGGGCACGCAAATGCTAAACCTGCATTTTCTGAAAATCTGTCCCACGCACCCTAATTTGTTATGTTTCAAGTATTTATTTAATGATGGAATAAGGAGGTTGTCCGTGCTCCTGCTTTGAGCAATTGCAATCAGATCTCCAGAGTGAAATTCACCCACAGGTCTTTAGACATCTCCAACATATAGATTCACCTGACAGCACCCACAGCTTTCTTCAGAAACCAGAGAAAAAGGCACTTCTAAGAGATCTAGTTTAGCTTTAACATTAAGATGATGTGAACTGCATGTCAGAAGAAAAGTGCTCATTTCTCCCCTCTGACCATACATGAAAAGACTGGGTGTGGAGCTCAAGGTTATTACGTCTACTTTTAGAAACAGAAACCTTTGCTCACACGGATTTCTAATCCAAATCATTATGTCAAATGACTAGAAGTTTAAGGCCTGTTCTCAAAATGATACTTTGCATAGCTTCATACCAGACCGGGATATTTGTTGTTTTATTTCTTGTCCTCAAATACCAATTCCCTCCCAATATCAGCAGTGCTGCAACCCACACTTAACAGCTGTCATCTCTGGTTGAGAATCTATTTCAGATGCAAGAACTTCTGATGACATAAAATATAAAGACAGATTTTTATTCCCTTTTTATTTTAAAAATAGTCTTTATTCAGTCCAAGCCAATTTAATTGTATCTCAACCCCAAAAACATACTATATAAGCGCTGAACATATGCAAGGATAAAATCACCCTGCAGAACTTCAGTTGTAAGTACCTGATGAATAAGCTTGGTTCTTTGAAACACTGAAAGTGTCCTGGTGAATTGAAGCAGGCTTTGCTTGTTTTATTTTGTTAACATTTTTTATAACCAGTTATTTTTTAATGTATAGAATTATTTGATTCTTGTATGCAGAGGTTAATTCTATTGTCCTATCTAGCTTTTCCATAGCAGAAGGATAAATTACTGTATATATAAAGTGCTGAACATGCATAACTAATTTATTCCATCAGTATAGGATCAATTATCAAGACTTTACATTTGCTGACTAGCAGTGTAAGAATTATTTAACTTAAACATGAATAAAACACTGATCACCCTGCACTGACCTCAGCTTATTAAGTTAAATGCACAGCTTTGGAATCCAAATGCTCTCTTACACCAAAACAGAAATCTCTTTCTCTTCTGCAGTACAATTCTATTCAATACCAGGCAAATGATATAAATCTCTTGCAGATCACAGCCTGCACAACTGTGCTGGCAAGGAGCAGTAAACAAAGGCAGCTTTCAAGGCCAGGACACTTTACTAAAGCAACTGTGAATGTCTGGAACTCACTGGAATTACTTCCATGAGTAACTTTACTTAGGGATATAAGTAGTTACAGGATGAAGATCCAAGTCAGTAAAATTATTTGGACAAAAAAGACAATCTAAGTGTGTTCGCCATCTCTGGTGAAAATGTTATGACACACTGTTATGGTGCCTCTCTGTCTCCCATCAAGGATGTCCCACCAGGACCTGAGAAGTTTGGATGACAAATAAAAAGTTTACAGAATATTCAATGAATTGGACTAACCTGAAGAAGTAAAAAGCCATTAGCAATCCTGCTCCAAGCAAGGCGCCCACAACTATTCCTGTAACTGCTGATTCTCCTAGACCACCTGCTTGAAAAGGGGGAAAATAAACAATCAGGGTTTATACTGAGAACTATCTGCATTCATGTATTGGAAAGTACACACAATTAGGAAATTAATGACCAACGTTAGACCTTTCAGAGCTTGGGACTCCATGAGAACCTGTTGCAGTGTCTGCATGTTTACCTTTTGTCCTTGCTTTCCTTGGGGCTGAAAAAGCCCCCAAATCAGTATCAGATGAAAGCAGAATTCTGGAGATGTGATACAAGGGAATATTGCTAGGTAACTGGCCTGGACAGCTTGGTCTGAATCATAACACTGACTACAGTTACAGTGATGCACATAATGGAAATCAGCACTGAATATGCCTTGAGACACTGTAATAGAAATAAACTCATCTTACCTGGATAAGAATAATAACCCTCTACCGCCTAGGTTTATTAAAATGACTACGATTATCCAACAGTTCCTTGATTTTTTCTAATTTCCTGAAGATATGTTGTTTCAAGATAAAGCCATATGACTTTTGACTTGCTTCAAATCTCAACAGAGGCAGAACAGGGATACAGTGGCTGAAGGGGAGCCCAAAGAGGGACTGTCTCTGGGAAGTGCAGGGCTCCTGAAGAACAATGGCATTTTATATACATGTAGTCTACTCCCACTTCCACTCCCACCTGGATTTGTAGAAAGGAACAGAGAAGGAAATCAAACTGTTCCCTCCTTTTCAAACTTCATCCTTGACCCTTTGAGGGGATTCTGTCTGTACAAGAGGAAGAAGATGCATAGCTGTACCACACTGAAGCAGATGGTTTGAGTTCACACCTGTTTTTCAAGGGTTTTAGAATTACCAGTCTGGAGTTATCTTTTCACTGCAGACTAGCAATTAGTCTCCTGTGAAAAGTTAAGACCACCTTTTGTCACTGAAGCATAAGTATCCTCCTACTCCAATCTCCCTGCAATGTCCTACTCACTACAACAAGGTCTGTGATGTCAAGAAAGAATAGACACCTGCCCCATGGAGGGTAGTCCCAGCCTTTTGAATTCACAGATGTCATCCCATTCAATTGTCTTCACTCCTCCTCACAGTGAGCTTCACTCATATGAAGGCCCCTCATAGTGCCTTCTCATAAGACTGAAAACCATTCTGCACTGGGAGAATGCTGCTCCCACCAGCACAGCTGGTAATTATCAGAGTGATTATTGTCTGCTGGGGTTTCAGTTACATCCCTCATTCTGGCTGAAAGGCTCCTGTAAAGACCTAAAGCCTCCAGGGCTCTGGCCTGTGCATGATTAGTGTTAAGTTTAAATTCAAGGAAGTGATTCAGACCACATACTACCCACGGCTGTCAGACCTTAACCTCCCAAGCAGTCGGGAGAAAGAGCCAGTCGCCATGTCTCAGCTGGACAACTGGGCTGAACAATTTAATATAGCCCATAAAGTTGCAGAGACTCATGGATTCTCCTCTTCAGAGCTGGCCCAGAAGCATTAAGTCACTAAACTTACATGATTTACACGGTGTATTGCTCGTGTGCTCTGAAACACGGCTTTCATCTAGGTGCAGCCTGCCATGGTTCCACGGGTATTTCACATTTGATCGAATTTCAAACCGTCCCTGCTTTCCATAGTAGTCCCCGATCACCTATGCAAAACAAGAAATGGATGAAAAGGTTTTCCTATGATCTTAGAGAAGTGAAGCAAACAGGAGAGAAACACTGACTCGACTGCTGTGGCATGATGCTGGATGTCAGAGAAGAGGGCTGAAGGGGTCTGTGGGAGGTTATGCAGTGCATGCCCTGCCCTAGGGCAGAATCAGCTGAACAAAAGCATTCCTGACAGATGTTTATCTAATCTGTTCATGAAAGCCTTCAAAGATGGAGACTTGACAATTTCTGCACCAATTATTCTGGAACTTAGCTAGCCTTACTGTCAGTTGTTTTCCCTAGCATGTAACATAAAATTCTTTTTTTGTAATTATCCATCACTTGTTACCAAATTGTCAGTGGTCATAGAACCCCTTCCTTTCTGAAACATTGCTTTACCTATTCACAGGCTCTTATCTGACTCCACCCTCAGGCTTCTCTTCTATATAAATCCAGTTTACACAAGATTTTTACCTTCTAAATATTTCTCCTACTCTCCCTGGGCTTTTATTAATTTGTTCCATAGTGAGCTGAGTGCTCAGGATTGTAACCCAGCTTAAGCTAGACAAGAATCCAGACTGGGCATAGACAGACCCAGAGCTGCCCTGCCCAGAAGGACTTGGGGCTGCTGGCAGGTGAGAGGCTAGATCTTTTCATACCAATTCTTGAAGACACTTCAGGATTTCAGTCCTGTCTTCAGCAGTTTCAGGCTTTATTCAAGATAACCTACATTGAATCTACTGCAGCAATATGTCTAAAAAACATCTATGCAGCAGGGCCATATACTGTGACACTGAAGTGGTCAGAAGCAATAGCAGAAGCACATCAATGGATCTATTTGTCCTCCCAAAGATAAAACCCAGATATTAATACACTGGGTTTAGAATTCATGGATAGCCTCTTCAAATCTTTCACCTGAATTTCATTTTGAAGCCAATGACTTTAAAAAAGAACATTTACTCTGGTTAAATATACAAAGGTATATTTTACATTAAATAAAGACACTAATTTCTGTCTCAGTTGAAACTGGGATATAAATCCTTTGAAGAATGGATGTGTTCAACATTTGTCCAAAAATAAAGGCAAATCCAGTAAACTGGGTAACATAGAGCCCATTCACAGGCATCAGATTATTTATTAAGAGATTAAGCAGGAATGGGTGAGTCTTCTAGTAGCACAACTTAATAAATAAGAAAATATGCAGAATGGTTTCAGAACAAAAAGCTATAAGCAGGAGCCACATGGATTCAGATCAGAAGTAGGATATCGATTTTTGAAAAGCGGGAGTGGTTCATCTGTGGAACAAACATTAAGGGCACCAGCAAGGCAGTCCCCGTCCTTTCAGCGTCTCCAAACCAAAAATAAATGCCTGTTACAGTATAAGCTTTAGTCATGTGTAAACTACAGGGCTCCATAAAGGTTAAGAAACCTGCCTTGTCTAATATAGCAGAGGTCAAACTAGGAAATCCAGGTTTTCTTCTAGCTTTAAACTCTGTGAATAGACTTGGGAAAACAGCTGTCCCCAAACTCCCATCCATCTGGCACAGCTGAGAAACATTCTCATACACAGGAAAAAAATATTCAATGAATAGAACAAGTTATCAAAGAAACAATGTTTTTAGAGTGAGAAATGAAAGTAGTAATTATGTGGCAGACAAAAGAAGTAAGCAATCATGTGTAAAATCTTAATTGCATGTGTATTTATGTACCTAATAAAACACAGGAAAATTCCACAAGAAGTAAAAAAAAATAAATGTAACATTTAAAAACAAGGTTGTTTAAATTGCAAGTGAAATGAAAGGAACGGTAAGAGAGGGAAATTAAATTGATAAATGGGATAAAAAGCTACTGGGCTGAACAAAAGAAGAAACACAGAGTGTTCACACCAAAGTCATCCCAATCATTTTGTACTCCTACTGCCTGGGAGTGTCTGCAGTTTACTGGAGTAGTTTTTCTATCACTTTTACACATTACAACACACAAGACATCCTCACACTTTTTACAGGGCTACTTGAATTTTTCTCTGCTGCAGTACCAATAACAACATAACTTCACTGGACTCAAAACCACACATTGAAATGTCCAGCTCAGATATTGCTACTTTCTGTTTGAGCTTGTTGAAGCTGGGGAGACCAGCAAAGCTGAGGCTGATGCTGATTTTGCAACGAACAAAATCATCCACTGCAGCTGGACTTAGGGCACTGCATGTATTAATAAACTCAGCCCAGACATGCTATTCTCTGTGTGCAGCTGGTACTGTTCCTCACAGATCTTTTCATAGTCCATCTCTTCCAATCCTTCTGCATCCAGTCGAATAATTTATCTGGTATATATGGAACCATCTGATTAAAATGTTCCTTAAATGCTGAAGAGAAGGCACTCAGGAATGTCTGCCTGACAAACAAAGCCAGGCAAGGTCTGCACTCCCGCTTGTGGTTGAGCACATCGTTAGATTTAAATACCTGCACTTTTTGTCTTAATATATCAGGACAATTTGTGCATCACTGTTTCTGTAAGATTAATATTTCTTCCTAACAAAAAATAAAAACTCTTGCTCATTTTTAAATAATTTCCCATATTCAAAATGAGCAGTGCTTAGCCAGTTTGTGAGAATTCACTATTTAGTTAAAGGCCAGCATCATGTGAAGTTGTATTGTTAAAGAAAAGAAGGAACTTTAAAAACCTTAAAATAACTACTTCAAGATAGGTATCTTACAGAAAGGATTTGGTCTTTAAATTGCTAAGATTAAGCCACTATTAAGTAAAGAGATGATATCATGTTACTTTACACTGAATTACTAATTCATCAGTGGCCAATTGCAGTCATGTTTGTTTCCTTACCTCCTGTGTGCCTGCCTCCGGGTCTGTCATTCCAATCACAGAGAAATCCCCATATCTGTCTCCATTGGCATCAATGGACACCTGCCCTGCAATACCTAAGGAATGGCATGTGAGGAATCAGAAGATTAATTAGTTAAATTACTGAGCCTTACCAAGCAAACATGAAAACAGTGGACAGGCTTTTACAAACCGATATGACAGGAAATCTCATCAGTCTCCCAGCATTTTTGTTGGCATTCCAGAAGAAATTGTAATTTCATCTTGGTGTCTGCATTCCTGAATTCTTAACATTTCTCCTTTTTAAATACTAAACATGTGATATTGGAGAATACGTGAGAAAAGTCTAATCCTAAAATGAGCATGTACAACTAAAACACAGATATACTTAATGTGAATTACTTATAGAGAGCCTAACCCTGAAAAATCTGATGATGCCTCAATAAAGAGAGTCCAGCTCATATGCTGCAGAGGACACAGGGGCAGAGACATAGATCCCATAGGCTTAAGGGGTTGCTGCACCCATATAACCAGTCCAGTGGGATACTGGAGATGGCATGGATAAGGAGTACCATATGCACTACATATGCATTAAGCCCTGCATTCATCTACTTAAGATTAACTACATAATAAGTTCAGTTTGGTTTATATTCTTAGAGCTCCATTCCACTTCCCCATTTTACAATTTCTAGACGACTTTGGGGAAACTAGGACTCATTGATTCATATGTCAAGTTTGAAAGAGCTTTGGAGATCTTGGGCCAAACCTCTAGCTCAGAGCCAGGAGAATGCTCAAGGTTTTATCTGCTCTCCAAAATCTCCAAGGATGGAAACTGCACAGCCTCATTAGGGCAACTTGTTTGATCTGTCATGGGAAATGAACACATCCTTGTGTTTAGATTGTATTCAATCTAAACCTCTTTTTAAATGTACGTCCTTGTGTACAAAAAGCTTGGCTTCAAATTCTCAATGTGTAAGTCAAACAGGTTCTTAAAATCCATCAAATAATACTAACTAACTGTGGTGAAGACATCTTAAGACTACTGATATGCTTTTTTACCTCAGATATTCTCAAATGTGATCCTGCACTGCCTGACACCAAACACAGCCATTTACAACCGCGCAAGGCAAACAGGAGTCACTGTACATCCATGTCACACCAAATACATGCCTAGACCAGGCACAAAGCCATGGAGATTCAGGCTCTCTGTGACAGTCAATCAGAAAAGGGAGGTCAGATATTCAGATATTTCTCCCAACGTGCCTAGCAATAGTGAGCGTGCAACAGGCTTAACTCACCTCCATTTATCTTATATCTGTTCAGATTTAGTGATGTCAGGAATATTTCAGCTTGCTGTAGTTTTCAAAATATGTAGTAGTAATCAAAGATTATTGTCGAGCACCTCTTTCATTATAACAACACCATAACCAAGCCGCTGTCAATTCAATTACTGCAGGGAAATCAAATGGGTGTAACAAGCACTTGGCTGTAAGACACTGAAAGAAGAGGCCACTCTGAAGAACTGAGATGTCTGTGTTTACACACCAATTTGGATTCTGGATCTGACAGGAAGTACTAATTGGAAGAGATACTTTTGTGACCTAAGAAAGCCATAACTCTGTTTTTGAGAAGAGGTACTAAAATTGAAACTTGGAGTTACTATGGAATTTTTTTTCAGTTGGCAAAGATTAATTTTTCAATTTTTCATCTGGACCAGAAATACAAATTTTAAAAGTTGCAATTTCCTTAAAAAACAGAGGTATGAAATTTTGAAACAACCTTAATCAAGAATTGCATTTGCATGAAAGTGCAATTTTATCTCAACTTTCTGGTTTTTTTTATGTGAGATACCTACATACAAAAAATTTTGGTACATTTTCAGAGGAAATGCCAATGACTAACAAATATTCTCTACCAGATATGCCCTGAAGTTATACCATGCTGTCTTTAACAACCCAATCACTAAGAAATCCTTTGATCACCTCAGCCTTATCCTTTCACTAAGCCCATAATGTCTGTGCAGCTCTGGCAGGCAGATGGTATTCTGCAGGAAGCAGCATCTACATTCTGTTGGGAGCCCTGATAAGTCAGAGCAGGCTGTAAAATGAGGTGCCAAGACAATCAGATGTCTACATGTCAGAAGTTAAATGTATGTCTTCAGTGAAACTGGAGTTCTCATTATCAAGGCCTGCAAAAGTCAAAGGGAATTACAAAGCTTCAGTCCTGCAGCAGAACCTGATGGGTGTCCATGAACCATACTCTGTGATGCTGCATCCACTGCAAAGAGGTGCTCACAGGCAAAATAAAGTGATGTGATCTTCCTGAAGGGTCTGAATTGCAAGATACTGAGTTAAAGGCCTCTTTCAAGATGAATTTTATGTCCAGCAAAGTACTGCCATATGGAGGAAAAGGTATATGACTTACAAGAATTTTGATCAACTGCACCCTCACAGCCCAACTCAGCTACCTTTTCAGAATAGGTGGACCAGGTCAGCCACCAGAAACATCTGATTTTCACAAATGGTGAAAGAGAACATTATTTCCCCCTGCCAGGTTTTACAAGCAAGGTGTGAGAATCAACCTTGTAGCCCACATGGAGCACATGGTATTATAAATGGGCACACCAGTTGGTGGCTTCCTGGAGCACAGAACAGGAGCAAATACTGGCTGTGCTGGGGCATCTGCTCATGCACAGCACAAACAAACAGAGAAGCAAACCCTTAGACACCAGATTCCCTCCCTCTTAAAACAGAGTGTTTTGGGGAGCCACAGATATGAAGAGATATAGTGGGATGCTAAGCACAACCTAGAGATAGTACAGGACAGCTTATGGAATGACTGCAACCTGCATAATTTAAAGCAATCCCTTGCTTTAAAGTGCTTAAGTGCTCCCTTAAGCTGCCCTTAGTATTCTTTTGCCTTGTGTTCATACCACAATTTGAAAACAGAAGAATGGTTTGCAGCTGCTGCCCTTCTTGCCTTCCGACACTATGTCCAATGTGTTCAAGAGCTGAGAACCTGGCCACTGGGGTTCTTCTTACACATTCAGATGAATCATTCACTTTTTATCTAAGGGAAATGTTTCCTTCTCTGAGGCATTTCCACAGGAAATCTTGCCAGTCCTACATCAAATGACTGGACTATCATATGAGATGGATGGAAATATTTTAAAGAGATGGATGGAAATATTTTAAGAGATTAAACCAATAATTTCAGTTTCTTTATTACAACTCCTACTTGACAAAAGTGTCTGCATTGCTTTGCATCAGCAAGGTGACACACAAGTGCCAGTTGCACTGCAGAATTGCAGCCTTGAGGATTAGGCACAGAAAGGCACAGTGCTGTTCAGCTGCTGTCTCTGAGACAACACACACAGCTCCTGAAAGGAGCCTGGAGGAAATCCTTCTAGGGCCCAAAGGAATCCCATTGAGAAACACAAAATAACCCCAACCCTGGCACCTGCTTGCTTCTATCCATTCCCAGGCTTTCAAGATAAAAAAGTGAAATGGAAAAAATGAGGCAATCTGAGAGCTAATAGATGAACATGAGCAAAGCGAGCAGCTGTAATCTTTTAAAAAACAATAAAGGAGCCTGAGAAAATCATTGGTATTTCTTTACAACATCAGATGGTCACAAAATTGTTAAGAGTTTTTTGAACTGAGTCAAGACCTTGACAGTTGATGCAAAAAAAAGACAGTCTGGTGAGACTATGTGAGCCAGCCTTAAAGATGCAAATGGTTTCATATGTTTTCCTCTCTTCATATGCTTTCCTCTCTTAGGAGTGGAATAGGCATGGGTCCTTACTTTGCACAGAGCAAAGGCCTGAAGTTTTTTAACTCTGAAAGCTGGAATTCCATATGTTACCTTCATATGTTCTGTTACCTTCATATGTACCTCTTACCTTCATATGTTCTGTTCCGTGTTTGTTGAACAATTTTTTCCCCATCTTTCTTACTGAAACCAGTCTTCAGGACTTCCTGTAAAGCTAGAGCATAAAGAAGAATAGCATCATGGAATCCTTCCACAAACATGTTCACCTAAAAAGAAAGAAGAAAAAAAACAATGGCAATTGACATATAACAAAATTTTTCTTTCCTAGATAACTGATTGACTAAAGAGAATCTACAAATTAACCAAAGTGACTAATTTGGAGAGTTACTTTCTCAGCTGCTGGAATAGAAAGAAATATATGTCAAAAAAACCCAAACTAAACCAAAACCAAAAAAAAAAAAAACAAAAAAAAAAAAAAAAAACCCAAAAACCAAACTAAACCAAAAACCAAAAACCCAAAAAACACCAAACCTCAGAGGAACAACAGGAACTTCTGACCCATTTTTAAAAACAGTTAACCACTATCTGCTATTCTGGACATTCATAATGTTGTGTCTGAACAGCTCTGCAGACAGGGGCAAAATTTGCAGATCCCAGTTCCCATGCCCAGAAGCCCAAATTCTGCACTTGAACATGTGAGATTCTGTTAGGTGCTGAGCACCCTCATCCCACAGCAGTGAGTACAACCCCCGCCCTCTGCACAGGGGACTTAGCACCTCTCGGGACTGGGAAGTATGTTCTCTCATGATTTTTTTTGGAGAGCACAACTAGTGGATTTGCTTGTTTAATGATTACCACTTCCACTGCTGGCCCCTGTTCAGCCAAGCATCTCTCCACTAGCAAATGAGCAATGGAGAAAACTATTTACCATCTCCAGTAATGTGTTCTCTGGAATTGCCAGAGGAACCTTTTCCTGTCCTTTATAGTTTTCCCAGTAAGTTACATGCAACAAGTGAAATAACCCTTATAACCCTAACCGTGCTTTATAACCCTAACACAAAAGAAGATTGCTGCCAATGAACCTTCGTAGGCAACCCACAGTTTTAGGTCTCTGAGTTACACAAACAGTTAACACCTGACTGCTGCAGAAACACTACAAGTTTGCTCTCAGGAGCCTGGTGTGCTGCAGTGGTGAAGCAATAATTATTTCAGGAGTGGAGTTCAGATGGAGACCCATCAGCAGAAGCTGATGCAGAGCAGCACAGGTATTCCTCTTCTGTAGGCAGCAACTCACATTTCAGCAGTGCAATGTACTCACTCAATGCACAGTAATTCAGAATGAATTATCTTTTCAGCTGCAAGAAAGATGTTCCTAAACACCCAGAGTTTCACTACAATAAAAAATTCCTGACATCCTAGCAGAAGTGTAACCACATTATAGGGCCTCTCACTGCCACTTCCAGGGAACTCGCCGCTAGAAATACTCTCCTGGACATAAGTAAGTTTTAGCTTATCTTCCACTACAGTGTATCTAAACAATTTAAAATGCCAGTAAATGAGGTGCTACTCTAACTTTCACAGGTTTAGATGGACATTTAAAATGTTACAAGACAAAACATGTGGCCAGTTAACTAAATAACAGTTCCACAGATAAGAAGTATTACATAGTTGATTGGCTTAGCTGAACTAATCAAACCCTGATAATGTAATTGCATCCAAGACATTCCTGCACTCTTCAAGCAGTTGCCAACAGTAAGTAGAATTTCGGAATTATTTACTGATAATATAAAAGTGTACATTGCTCTGACATTTAAAAGTGGACTTTCAGTAACGCCAGCCTATGCTGCAGTTGAATGCATCACATTCATCACAGGGAAGAGCCCATGGTGCTACAGGAGGGGCAGAACACCTTGGCTCACACTGACAGTCACTGACTAAAGGGCAGCTGCAGTTATTCTGAACTAAAGAGAAAGCCTGAAAGAAGAGGTGAAAGTCAGGCTTTTGGTGGAATAAAAGAGCTGATGGACAGAGAGCATACTAGGACAGGCTTTGCCAGCAGGGGCTTTAACTTTTCCGAATTGAAAAAAACCCCAACTAAACCAAGAAACCACAAAGCTTTGTATGCCAACGTTAGAGTCCAAGTGGCCTGTGGGAGATCAAACTTAAGCTTTCTTAATGTGACATTCTCTCAGGAGAGAAATTAGACTCTCCAGTAGCTATACCTCCCTGCTGGCTGATTTACAGTTTGTGGCTGTCATTTCTTTCAAGGAAAACTATCTGTCAATTCTTTTGTCCATGGCAGACCTCTCAGTCTAACACAGCAACCTTCAAAATCCATTTTGTCAGCTAATTTGCTCAACCTGAAATCTACTCAAGCCACCAGCCTCAAAAACCTTCTGTAGACACTGAAGATTTGCCAGGTAAGTCGAAACTCACTTGGCAGTTTGGGAGGTTGCTGCCACAGCATCTTGCCAAAGCTCCACTTGGCCAAAACCCCTTACATTACATGTGAAAAGTCACATTAAAAATCGTCAGAAAGTCATTTATGCCATTGCTCAGCTGCTTACACACAAACCCCAGCATTTTATCTCATGTTGTCAAGGAAGCTGAAACTATGGATAATTTATGCCATTTAAAATCCTCTGAAGGAGTTGTAACTACTGTTTGCAGATGGGATTGCACTTGCACTCCCCAGCCAAACCATATGCTGGCCACACCTGAGACTTTTCACATTAATCCAGGAATATGTTTAAGCAGCAGTTCTTGCAAGGTGATACAGGATCCCATGAAGGAAATAGTTTTCCTGCATATCATCTTGTTCAATCATTTGTAAGTTGTAGGATACACATATGTGTAGGACAGAGGAATATTAAAATGTGAAGTAATGTCTGCAAAAACTTTTGAAGGGTTTGCTCTTTGCTGCAGAAAAAGCATTAAAAAGGACTAGACTATAAAGTTTATATTCCAGGAATGCTTCAAATAGGAATGAGAGTAACTGTGAAGATGTCTTCACAGGCTGCTTGAAGGTGTCCATGGTAATTAATAATGTGCTAGTTCAACCTTAGACACCCACAGGATAAAAACTGAACAGCGTATAAAATTGATTAAAGGCCCACTAATCTTATAGGTAATTAAAAGTTATTTTAGTTGAGCTCTGACACAAAGCAGTGCCTTTTAATGTAGTGTTTTCTATTTTCATTTAAGCTGCCTTTTAACTACAGGTGTGAGCAGAGCTCCAAATGCTGTGATCATACTTTGCATGTCAGAGCTACAGAAATGTTGCTGTCCAGGGCATCCCTTCAACATGGCAGCAATGCTGCTGGCAGCAGAGAAGCTGCGAGGTTTGCTGAACATCTTTGGAGGCTGCAGTACAAATATGTGGAAACCTCTTTCTCAGCTATCTTCTGTATTACTTTCACATCCTATTCTAATACCATACACCTAAAAAGCAAGTATGCCAAGTGCACGGGTGAATAAGACATATACCCCTTTTATTTTCCTGCCTTTCTACTCTAATTAATCATCTCCTATCAGAAAAAAAACAAATTAAAAAAAAAAAAAACAACCAAAACCCAACAACCTCTCTCAGTGGAAATCACATGCATAATTTTGCCCAGTTTGAAGTTATAGTTCCCCAAGCAGCTATATTGTGACCACACTGTTCATATATACCAAGGTGTTAACAGCATACACAGCAGTGCAAAATACTACCGATGTGGAAGACAGCCAAGATACAGCTACGCAGGGCCCATAACTTTCCATATCCTGCCTCCTGAGTGTAAAATAAGATCATTCTCCTCCATCTGGAACTGCCCAGCTCTGAATCACTGCAATTACAGCAATTCATACCACTTCCATGCTTAGTGGGGAGCATTATCATCATCACCACTCTTTTTCTATTGAAAAGGCAAACAACATCTCCCACATTTGGTCTCTGCATCTACTTTCCATGACATCCATAGTGATATTCAAGTTGTCAAACTATAGTTTCAGCCTCAAACAGTAAGGACCCTAGGGAACTGCAGAGGGCTGCACCCAGACATTTTGCAAAAATCTTAATAATTTATGTATCTGATGTAATGCTCCTACTTCTCACACTCCTACAAGGTATCTCAATAAAAGTATTTTCCAAACAGTTGCAAATAACTGTCAGTTCTCCTGTTTTAATCCTCCTTCACCAAGCCAATTATAATTATGGTCCCTTCTTTATGAGCTTTTCTAAGAAGCCCTGACATAACTAACTTCTCTCACATGCATTCTTGACACGTAGCTAACTCACTATCCAGCACTATTCACTTAACTCCGCAGCTGGGATTTCTTTCTTTAATACCATTTGTTGACGCTGCATATTCCCATTCAGGACGCTGCCACAACCCATGCTGTTTTAAGTACTTATTTATGGCCCTGAGATGGTCAGGGCCATAAATACTTCAGCAGTTCTTTGATATGTTGCTACGACCTTGCTCGGAGCAGAACAAATTTAGAACAAGGTGCTCATGATTCCCATACAATAGATGATCAAAATACAGAAAGAATTAATGTTTATTTTTTTTTAAGAAAAAATACCATTATTACTAATTGATTTTTTGTTAAACTTCTAGTTTATGTAATCCCAGTGAGAAACTCTGGGTCAAACTGACATGTAGATTGAGAATGTGAAGCTGTGGGAAGAATATTCTTACACCTGATCATTACCTGAGAAAAGGTGAAATACATTTCAAACCATGTGTAGTTCCAGCTCATGTGTAGCTCCGCCTTTGCAGTAATGTATTAGTCCTACTGCCATAACACTACCATGCATCATTCTGCATACTACCGCCCTAACAGGATTATCAGAATTTTTACTAACACACTATCCATCTCTTCAGATCCTCACAGGATTTCTTCACTTGATTATGCAACAGAAACTCACAGAACCCCTGAATATCATCTATGGATAAAAGCTGGGTAATGATCACATGCACTGGGACTGGGATTTCAAGGACTCCCAAGCACACCAAATGCAAAGCCACAGGATACACCCATAGCCAGCTGTCATAAACAGCATGTCTTAGGGTGCCTATAGACAGGGATGCATCACTGTGGAAACAAAGCAGGAACTGGAAAGAAGCCTAAAGCTAAAAGACAGTTAATCAAATCTGTATGTTTAGATGCCTTGGACTAAAAATACAGACTGTTTGCTTGGGCAATCATACTGCTCCCCTGCTGGACCATAGTGCTTCAAACAAATGGTAAGAAAAAGGAAAAAATAATGGAAAAACATGCT